AATAACGGCTGTTTTTATTTTGGCCATATTACTATGACACGAAACACGCGTTTTGATGTAAATAAACAATCTGTTGTATACGCCACTTGGAACTCAAGTTTCAAGGACACGCTCGCGACAACCCCTCCGCTTTAATATGATGAGCACAAAGAGAACTTAACGGGGACTGTGTCATTTTCAATGACTTGTTTTATGTCACCATGTAGCAAAATGTAGCAGTCACTTGATCCCAAATGTTTCACACATGAGTTCCCTGCATGCTGTCTTGATTGTCCATCACTTGATGGGGTCTTCAATTGGTTCATGTTCATTTGCTTGAACCTCTGTTATGTTGTTCACATCTTTAAATTTTGAATGTTATTATAAATATATTCTACATCAAATTTATGCCTTCAATTCACTTCTTATCCTATCTTAGTACAGATTGCTTGTGAAATGTACATTGCTAACAGTGGAGCTATCTCAGCCAAGAGGCTGCTTGTGTCCTCAAATAAAAATTTAGCACACATTATAGTACACATGAGGCTACTTCATATTGACAATGACGTGTTATGTGCTGTGTGCATACTCTTACAAATGTAATTTACTCCACATTTAGTATGGAAACACTGCATATTTACAAATTTTCTTCTCTTTTTTTTTTAGTATTTTGTAGAAACCAGCTCCACATGTCATTTTCTACAGCCATAAGTCCAATTTTTGAGAAGTGTGCCTGAGTTTTGCAGTTGGACTATCAAGCAATGCTGTTTCAGGGAGAAGAGAGACTTTCAGAAGCATACCACTAATGCTTGATAGAATATTGTACCTTGCTAAAAAAATTACATAGAGATATTAAGCTATCACTACTTTAATAGCACTCCTATGGGACATCTCAATTAATAAATGTACATTTCTTGATGTGAAAGACAACTAAATTAATTTAGCTCTGCCTTTTCACATAGAACACATCAACATATGTATCTATTTACCATGGCATTATTCTGTGAGTATTTTTTTTAATCATTAAACTGTACTTTTTTTAAATGCTGGTTATTTGCGTCTGTGATATATGTATGTGTATATACAAGGTATGTGGTTTAGACTAGTTTGTAAATACATCCCAAAGACAGCGATATTTGGATATTGCTTCAGGGAATAAAGGACAACACACTGTCCTTTAGTGTGCGTTATAAATCACAACTATCAGAAATAGTGGTTTTTATGATGTCATAGCTTTTTTTATCACATGATAAACCTATATTCACTGAATCACGCAAGTATAAAAATTCATGTTTTTAACAAAAATTTGATTAATTCAGATGTGGTGATAACAACAAGAAGGATTCCTCACATATTGGATTCAGAAAAGGTTCTAGACACAATCTTGCCACATATGCTTCTCATCCAGTATGGTGCTGTGGGTGATTTGTTGTTGGAATGTGAATGTGTTGCTAACTGACGTGATATACTTTTCCGTGTTTGGTACATTCTATTAGATGGGAGGCAGGCATGATTCATGCCGGAAATGTTCATTGTATAAAAAAGTGTTTATGTACTTTCACATGCATTTAAAATATACGTTTTCTGTGGAGTTATCTGTATTGGGCATATTTTGTGGTACATCAAACTACAAATTCCATTTTTGCTTTCTGATTTTGTGAACATAATATTTCTGTGACTGAAGAGAAAAAAAAATTAAAATTGGTAATCCCTATATGGTACAGATTCAGGTTTGTGGTAACTATAGTCATTTGTTGCAATTTCTTGTAGTGGCTATACTAAATGCACCATTCCACAAATACCATTGTGAATTTGGCAAAGTTATATATATTTTTTTGAGCGAGCTATGGGTCACAGATGCAGACATTTTTTAGAACTAATTGTGCCAATTTTTTGGTGCGTCAATGGTGCATCAGAAAATCATGTCTTGTAAAATATCTTACTGCTTGTCACAAGATTTGTAATTTAAAAAAAATGCAGTTTAGTGTAAAAACATAAAAATCTGAATTCACAGCATTTTAATTTGTGCTTTCAGTAGTTTCCCCCAACAATTTCTTTATTCTCACTGGAGGGATGATCCAACTTGATTTTTGGGATTTCATTTTTACTAAATATCCCCACAAAATAGGTTTTGTAGGCCTTAAAATTGCTTCTGGTCAACTTGATGGCAGTGAGATCATTTTAGTTTGCTAAAATATTTGACAAGGCACAAATGTTGTAGGTATCTTCAAATTATCAACAGGGCCGCTGTGAACTGGTGAAATTAGTCACACACAAAACTTGATCTGTATTTTTTGGGGTTGTGCATGCTGACTAGACAAGGTTTTTGAGAAAATTATTCACTGCTACAGCTACTTTAAAACGTTCTGTGGATTTCATTTTAAATGCCTTGCCTTCATCGTCATCTGACACGCTCAACACGTCGTCTAAACATGAAATCTGGCAGGAAGTAGAGTAGTAACTGTTTAATCTTTAGTTTGTCTTCTTTATGTATGCCTGTAAAACAAAACCATTTATTTTCACTATTTTTATATGTTTTTAGAAATTTTACTGGGTTTTAATCTCACAAACTTGGCAAGGATAACAATTATTTCTATTTATATTCCATTTATGTTGAAATCATTTTCTCAATTTCTGACAAGATTCTATGTCATACTTTACCCATAATCCTTTGCTTGAAAATCAAGATGGCTGACTACATAATACTGATCGATGAAAAGTTAAATATCTAGAGAATGAAAAGTGATATAAAAAAACTGTAAATTGCATTCTCCTACATTTGTGGAGCTTTTTATTTAGGGGTCATTATATTGTTTGGGTTGATGTTTCCTTTAAAAGCAATTGCCTCTATGCCCGGGGATTTTACCTTGGTGTTCTTTGAGAAATAAAGATTTTCCCAATATGCCAAGGCAATGTGATACTTTGTGGCTGTAAACATATTATTTATGATTTAAAATATTAAAGTGATGCGTACTTGACAAGTGAAACCTTAACATAAATGCCATAAAATTTCAGTGTTACTTGTCAGTTGCTAATGCAGCCTCTCTGGAGGGTCGTAATAGCTGTTGTGTACGTTTTAAAAAGTCTTTCACACATACCAGTGATTATTAACTAGAAATAAAATTATGAACATGATAAAAAAAAGAATAAGGTTAATGACCATCTTGATATAGAGACTATCTTGCTATCTTGACAATCAATTATTCTTTGTGGTTACTGTAAAATACTTTATTTTAGCTGGAATTAATTTTTACTAAAAAAGATTTTTGGGTGTTTTGTATATAGTTGCACTGACTTTAATGAGTTGAATGGAAAATATAGGTAAATAGGTATATTTGCTGGAGTTTATTTTCACTGAATCTTATCCCTTCAGTGAAAATAGCAAAAATGAAGTATTTTACATCTAAGGTCTATTGAATGAATTTCATTTCAAGGATAAGCATGGCGAACACATGTTCACACTCGAATTTCCTCGCTAAACTATTTCCTGCTACTGGCTATTCAAAAAAAAAATAACTTAGGGTGAGTGAAATGAATACTGAACATAAAACTGTTTGTGTTTGGACAATGGCTTGGTAAAATATCAAGGGTTTGTATTGCTTTTATTTTTTCGGTAACATTTTTTTTTTCATTTTCATTTTCAATCTCAGGATACAAAGAAAGTTACTGCCACAGTGTCTTTTTATCGCCTGACACCGCTAGTCATTTTCCTGACTGCTACAGAGGTTTATCTGTTTATTGTGTTCTTGTTATTCAATAAGCATTTTAATCATTAGAATGTCAGAGCAAAAGTTTAAATTTCTGTGAACACAGTAGTATTGGAAACAAGTTAGATTTTACTGACGCCACCATCGCTAGTAGTGTTTGTCATCCTCTGATGGAAGCGTGTTCACTCGGAGCGTCTTGTCCTTTGAGTTTGTTTTGCAATGATATTTTTTAGTTCTTTTCATCCCACTTGTTGGGCATTTTATCGTTGGATTTTCACAGCACTCTATAGTTTTTGTGAGAAGCCCGTATTTACAAGGATTGTGAATGCTATGCAATATCTGTTGATAATCTAC